CTGGTTAAATTGTGGCACGATTTAATTCCACTGTCGCAGACGCAAATAACAGTAAAGTTACAGTTCAGACTTCAAAACGCAGGAAGACTTTCGACTCTCAAAATGTACGGATAAAAAGTAGGCTTGTGTATCTGAGGCTTAGCTCCAAAGAACGACATTCATCATTGAAACTGAAGTTATAGTCCGTAAGTAGTCCGTAGTCCGTAAGACTGTGACGACCAACTTGAAGACTGTTTCCAGATATACCTTACCTAATGGCTTCCGGCGCTTGCTCGGTATCGTTGCTCCTGTAAGGAGGGTTTCAAAAGACGCCCAGCTAAAAAAATCCTTCGTAAGTAAATCTGATATGACTTACAAGTCAGCCACTGATGAGGTCATTTCTTCCCCAACGGAAGTATTCCTCGACATCTTAATGTTAGTGGATACAAAGCTCGGTTTGTGCTATGCATGGAGAAATCCGGCATCTTGAAAAAACTGGGAAATTTGCTATCGCCCTCTCTTTCCCACGCGATTACCCTTTCCTTCAAACCACGATCCTACGTCGGGCACGTTACAAAGACATGTGAGCCCGTGTTAAGAATTTCCTAATTCTGTCATTTTTTAAAAGATTTTTCAAAGAGTTAGCACTCATCATATCACTACGTAGTCCCTGAAGTAACCTCCACAACTCTCTCTTAACGGTTAAGGCATTCATCAAAATAATACATAGTTTGAAAACATTTAGATATAACAAGCAAAAAATCACCCACCCTCCCTTCTAGTATTTCTTAGTTAAAACCTTACAAAAAGTCTTAAACAAACTTAGCTTAGACGGGCTCACTCAGACACCCTGTTCTTTTCTACGGTAGATTGTAATCATGATAAGGATGCATTTTTTAATAATTTATGCAATTTGTAGGAAAGTCTTGAAGAACCTCTAAAGTTAGTTCACAACTGAACGGTTAACGTAGTACTGGCTTACTTGATCGATGGCATGAAGGCACAAATAACTCTCTAAGAGTAACCAACATCTAATTTTCCCCTGCCAGTATCACCACTTAATTGCACATGAGGTCCACGAAAAGGAAGGAAATGCTGATCGCCTGCGGGAGAGGGTTATCATTGTCAAACATATTCTCCTTGTCATTATCATAGGAAACGTATAGAGAGCAGTTTTGGATGTAAAACAGATGAAGAATCAGTCGTCGCCAACAGTATATAAAGGGGGGGGGGGGACTGTAGATAATTTACCAAACATTGGGTGACTGGCGGCTAATAGGGTGGAACATAAAAATACTAAGTAGACTTATGTGGGGAAAAGGAAATTTTATTGTGACACAACTAAAAAGCACCCACCCATCTTCCTCCCCAGCCTTATTCTCTTCTTTCACATCCCCATAATCCCTTGCGCCTTGGGGGGTAACCAGTCTGACAACAAAGCTAAGGACGCCATATCTGTTTACAAAACTCTTATATATCATCGTAATTTACATGGGAAAAAACGACTTTTGCTGTGCTCCAAGCTGCTCAAATAATCGGAAAAGAAACCCAAATCTCAAGTTTTACAGAATTCCGAAAGAATCTAAGCGAAGAAATGCTTGGTTAAATAGAATTCGCCGACAAGATTTTTCACCAACAGACAACACTCGATTGTGCTCAGCTCACTTCGTCGGAGGAGAAAAGTCCGATGATCCTGCACATTCGGCTTACAATCCATCCATATTTGAGTTCAAGAAGGAAATTGAAAGTCGAAAGACCAGAACAAGTCAAAAAACAAACAAAGATGACTTCGTTGCAATTGAAACTCTAAAACCAAAGCGCAAACGAGTCAGTGTAAGTACTTCACGATGACTTTGATAAGTGTTTTTTGTTTGAGTTTTTATACTTGAAACACTATTTCCAACATATCTTTTTATCATTTTCTCAGGTATCGGGGGAAAGTAGGGGTCGCCCAAGAAAATCATTCAAATCTGTTGATGATCATGAAATATGGGGAGCTTGTTTACCAATAGAACACCCATTGAAAGAGCATGACTACTGCAAGTCGCAGGTGGATCCCAAGTCAAGAGAATTAAGCGATGACATTTTGCAAGAGCTCACTTCTTTGCAGAGCAAAGTGAGCGAACTTGAGCACGAAAATCAAAAGCTACGTGCAAAATGTCTTTTATTGGATCAAATTAAGCTAGACAATGACAAATTTCATTTTTGGACTAGTCTCCCTAACTATGACACCTTCAAAGCATTATTTAACTATTTAAATGCTGTTGGTGTAGACAAAAAAAAAATGTTGGAGAGGATCTGAAATGGCTTTACGTGACTGTCAGTTAGGAAACAAACCAGGGCCATCATCCAAGCTGCCATTGGAGGAGGAGTTGTTCATGGTCGCTGTTAGATTAAGAGTAGGACTTACACTGCCAGATCTGGCATTGAGATTTGGAATCAGTGAAGCAAGTGTCAGCAAAAATTTTTCTGCATGGATTAATCTGCTGTATTTCCACTTTAAAGATCTCTGCCTCTGCCAAATGCCTGACTATGGGGAATGTGGAAAGGCAAATCAGTTCTCATCATTCCCTGACCTCAAAGTTATTGTGGATTGCACTGAAATCTTTACCCAGAAACCCTCCTCATTAAAGGCCTGCAAAGAAGTATACTCAAATTACAAGAGTCATACAACCTTTAAGTTTCTAGTGGCAATAAATGCACATGGAGCAATTGTTTATGTGTCTCGAGCATGGGGAGGCAGGACATCAGACAAACACATCACAGCAAGCAGTGCAGAATTTATTGCTACCCTAAAGGCAGGGGATGAATTAATGGCTGACAGAGGATTTGATATCAATGAAGCAATGGAAGAAAAAGGAGTGAAGGTTACTATTCCAGATTTTAAAGGAACAGGCAGATCACAACTAAAAAAACACGAGGGAAAGCGCTCAGAGAAGATTGCAGAGGCAAGAATACACGTTGAGAGAGCTATCCAACGAATCAAAACTTTTCAGATCCTGTGTAAACCAATTCCACTCTCAATGGCTCATTTAGNAAGAGCCCAAAGACTTGGGAAATCGGGTAGCAAATGAACTCTAAAGCACAAAACAGTAAAGGAAAGGTCAAAACTATAATGAGACAGAATAAAGACAAAGTTTCAACTTATCTAAAATGTTGCAATTTTACTTTGAAGACGGGTTTATTTTCTCAGACATGCTATTATGTCTCACTTGAAGTGTAGTTGCAATGTTTTATAATCAAACATAAAACACAGACTTACTTGACAGAATGTACATCTTGCTTGTGCTCCCATGCACGAAGTGTCTTATACTTTCGCATAGTTTGCTCTTCATAACCAACTCCAATTAAATATGACTTGACCATTGACTCATCCATGAGCATTGGTATGCCTGTTAAGTCTTTCTTCCATTCTTTTTGCTTCTGTAGATAAGCTATGGTTGGTAAAGTCCAGCAAGCTAACTGATTCTCGGTCTTTGTAGCGGTCGTGGATGATGTTGACAGATTTAAAGCGTTGCAAACAATGTTTACGAGCGCTTTCTTCCCGATATTTTTCTCAAAATCTCCAGAGAGAGCTCTACAAACTTCCTTAAGCTTTGGTTTCGCGAGTTTAGAAGCATCTTTATAACAGTTTGGTAGCTTTAAATCCGTTTGTTTGGTTGGAGCCGCCATTTTGCTTGTAACTAGGGCTCCAAAGTTACCCCCCAAAGCGCAAGGTATTCTGGGTAATGTGAAAAAGGAGAATGCGATAGATAATGACAGTTCCTTAAATTGGGAGCACTGCGGGCTCATTTTATAATTTAAAAGGGATTTAAAATCCACAGAGATGAGATCGAAAACCTTGCTTTTTTTTATTAGTGAATGAGGTTTTCCTCTAAAATGGTAACAGTGACTCTGCCAGTAGCGAATTTATTGAAAATATATCTAAGGAATAACAAATGAATCATACCCAATGAATTTCCATCCCCAATGACAACGTTTGATACACAGAAGTACCTCAGTGATTGCAATGAGCAAGCGAGGTTCTTTTTGACAACAGAAGTCTCCTCGCATAAATTAAAACATTAACGAGCACAACTTTTTTCCCTTAGCAAATAAACAAATACAGAAATATAAAAAATGTATCTGTGGTTTGACGTTAGTAGGTAAAGGGCCCGACATTGGGAATCACAAGATCGTGTAAAGCTACAATTGAGCAAAACGGCTAAAAAATGGTGCTAAGAGGGATGATCGCGTAAAAGATAATCAAGCAGAACTCCGCGTTAAAAATTTGGAAGTAGTAGAAAACGTTTCTATTTTGATCAGTGAAGTACAAAAATATAGCTGGATTTTGACGCTAGAAGGTAACACACCCTTGGTTTCCGTCATAAAAACGAAACGAACACAAGGCAAAACAGCTAAATCATGCATGAAACTCAAAATGTCCTGTATAAATTTGCAGGCTTACTGATTTGCGCACTCAGCTAAATTACTGGTAAAAACAACATACTTTGCAAGTCATGCAACAAGTGTTACGAGTTAAGCTACACTAGGCGTGATGCCAATAAAAACCAATTACGGATAGTAACAGTTTGCAGACCTAAATTTTATTTGGCACAAGATGACAAGTTTGTAATAATCTTTATACCTGGCCATTCATCCCGCAAATCAGAAGCGTAAACCACGTTATTTAAGCTGCATAATGAGGTTGGTCTTAAGTAGACTGTTTCATCTAATTACTTCCTGGACATTCTATTTATTTGTTGATAGCACACAAAAATTATGTTTTCTTTTTCTTTTTTTAAAACTCAATTATTGTCTACCGTTATCGTACCATCATTAACTGCATCCTTGCAGCATCGGACAAAGACACGTTTTTATCACACAAAACCACTTAAGCGTTTATGACACAAACATCGTTTTATAGTAAAGTCGTATACTGTTTGGGAATACTAATGTTATGTTACTTTTGAAAACAGTCAGATTTCCTGATATCGATTTCGATAGCTATGACGATGGCCCTTGAAAAACAATTGTTTGTTTTTGTTTTCTTTTTTCAAAACTCAGTCATTTTCTACCGCTATTGTACCCTCTATTAACTCCCTTGATGCAACACTGAACATTTTTAAATAAACGTATATGAAACAAACATCATCGTGCTATAGTCCACTCGTACACTGTCTGAAAATTGTTAACCGATGTTAAGAGCTATGTTGATTATACGAAATAGCGCTTCTGAGTTATAATTTAGTATTCGATTAAGATACAGACAAAGGGATTCATTTTCACATGACGATTAGTTAGTTCCGGAGGTTGAAGTCCTTAATAGTAGTATTTTCGCTTCAGTAAGCATCTGAATGACCTCTGAGTAATGTTAGAAGGAAACAAGCTTAAGCGGTTGTTAGCATCATCCGTACAAAAGACAGACATGTAGGTTAGCCCCATAGCCTTGTTAAAGGGCCTTTAAACCCAAAAATCGTGCATTTTCTTTCCACATAGCTGTTTAGCAAATATATCAAGTACTTCAAATGTGCAATTGGTTTTTTTTCTCAAAAGTCCATTTTCACCTTGAGAAAGCTCTTCCAAATTCGAAACATTCGCCATCTTGAATTGCGCCATCTTTCCTGTGACGTCAAGGGTGGAACCTTCCTGTGATGAGATCAGAAGCTTTCTTTTACGATCGCGTGAGATATGTGCAAGTCTCCTTCGCAGCCCCTGTTTGCCGGTCTAGTGACGATTTTTTTACTTATAATTTGGTTGATTATATTAAAATTTTTCGTAATGGTAAAGCATTGTGTCGTCCAGTTTTGTAGTAATTCAAACAAAACCGGGCATGCAATGCATAAATTTCCAAAAGAAGCAAATTTGAAGCGACAATGGGTTAAATTTGTTCAAGTTAAAAGAGCCGATTTTGACCAGTCGTCCGAACA